CACGCGAGGTGGTTGTTTAGCTTCGGAGGTTTGCTTGAGGGACTCCGCCCGGAGCCTTTGGCTCAATAGTCTGACCCACAAGGCAGTGGGGAGCAGATCCGGCTCAGGAATGTGATTGCAGAGACAGATTGGGATCTGCTTGATGGCCGTCACACGCAGCCTTGGAGTTACTGGAACGATTTATATACGTTTTGCGACCGTAATTGGATGCGCACCTGCGACCACGGCCAGACGCCTGTGGGTTTTAGCGGGTTTGCACCAATTTGACCAGGGGCTGCCTGGCTTGAGGCTGGCAGTAGCAAACCATTGAACACCCGGAGGTGTCCTCCTACTGTCAGAGACAATGCGTGGCGCTCGTAATCTACGCCAATAGAGCTGTGAGTTTATAACCCGTAGACCTGTTGTCTCCCATGGCCAGGTTTTACGGGAAGAGAGCCATCGACCACTTTCTAACCTCCGAAGAGGATGGACTAGTTTACTGGCAGTGCGCCCACACCTGACAGCAGAACGACTCGGGTTCTCAGCCAAAGCCTTCGATTAAATGAACACGCGAAAGGCAGCGGGTCTAGCACATGGTCAGTTCGCTGACTCATGCGGATTGGTGTCTTGGATCTCAGCAGAGAGAAGGGCGAAACCCAACTCTCACCTAGCGGTCGCCAAGTGGAGGCGCTCAGGACATGAGCCAATGGCACAACAGTAGCGCCAGTGGGTAGACCATCTGTCAGGATCTAGTCACCACCAGTCTGAGCGCACCATAGGCTCTCCCGCCTGTATATATATATATATATATATATATATATATATATATATATATATATATATATATAATAACTATCTGTTGTACAGATATTGTGCCATCGGAATCATGGCTGAATAGGAAGACAGTATGAATAATATGAGGGAGAAACAACAACAAATGCTTTTTTTGTCTAGTTTACCAGGCACAGTTTTTGAAATGTTTCAGTTTGCATTTTTAAGGGGAGGAAGAAGGGACACCTCACTACACTGATGCACACGTCCGCCATCGACATCGATCTTGAGCCATCGCTTCCCATATCTCCAGCCAGCAAGTATTCGCATCTCTCGGACTCCAACCAGGTAGTCGACAACAACCGGCCGAGGCCAGCGGTTTCGTCAGCCTTTTCATGCGACTTCTCCATGTTGTATGTTGTCCACCAAACCGTCTTCTCCAGCCCTGTCCAGCAACCGCAAACAACGCACGACGCGTGTAACGCTGGACAGGCATGCGCAATACGTGTCTCAACCAGCACAGTTGATGCAGTGAGACGAGCTCCTCGAGCGAGTGGCTTCCAGTTCCCAAGACGCGCTGTCTCACTTCCACATTGCTTACGTGGTACTGCCACCACACACGGGCAATGGACCGCAGAAAACGGTGCTCGAAGACGGATAGTCTGCGCAAGTCATCTTTACGAATGGGCCAGGTCTCGCATCCGTACAACAGTACAGCACGAACAGTTGCACAATAGACCCGCCCTTTGATGGAGAGAGAAATGTCGTGGCGACGCCACAAATGCCTCAGCCTACAAAAAGCGAGGTGTGCTCTCGAGATGCGCATCGAAATCTCGTCTCCAACAGCCCCGCCAGCAGTGATGCTACTTCCCATGTAGACAAAGCTCTCCACAACCTCTAGTGTTTCACCACCAAGAGTGAGTGCAGGCAGAGGCACCTGCCAGTCTTGGAAGAGAGCCTTGCATTAGGATAGCGAAAAGTACATACTTTGATGCTTCAATCGCCAAGCGGTTTAATGCAAGTTGGACGACGTGTGGATCGTCACCCAGCAAGACTATGTCATCAGCATAAGCTAAATCAACAACTCGACTACCCGGGAGGAGCTCAACGCCAGCGTTCAGCGAAGCGCCCAGATCGTTCTTCAGGACATCATCAATGGCAAAATTGAATAGGAACGGAGGGATAGGGCATCCTTTTCGAATTCCACTGGAGACCACAAAGGTAGGCGAAAGCATGCCATAAGCCTTAACCATGCCCGAGGTGAGACTATACGAGGGCGCGCAGTATGGAGACGAATTTCTCGGAGGCACCATTCCTCAGTAGGCAGTGCCACAGTACCGCACGATCGAAGGAATCGAAGGCTGCACGGATATCCAGGAAGACAGCAAGCGTTGGCCTCTGATACACGTGGCGAAGCTCGAGGACCTGACGGAGTGTGAAGATTTGATCGATGCAGCCACGACCAGGACGAACCCCAGTTTGTAATTTCCGTTGGGAATAGGCTGCGAAATATGTTGGACACTAGCGGCTTGCAAAGCACTGGGACTAAGCTTATTCCTCTGTAATTGGAGCAGATTGTGCGCAAGCCCTTACTGAAGATGGGGACGACTTTGGATTCACTCCAAGGTGACGGAACTTTCTCTTTTGACTAAGTTTTCGAGAACAAAGCAGTGAGTTCTCGAACCAGCGTAGCGCCACCATCATTAAATAGAGCTTAAGGAAGACCATTAGGGCAGGGAGGTTTAAAGCGCTTCATGTGCCGGAGCTCCTACTCGCGTTCTTGGTAAGAGGGAGGATCTGTAGGGGTAGACCACTCGGCCCCAGCGCGAGCGCCAGAGGTAACAGATGGAGCTGGGGACCAACAAAACTGCGAGCCAAAAATGTTCGGCCCATCGCTCCAACCGTCGTTGAAGATTGGTGATTAAAGTGCCATCCTCTTCGCATATTGTTTCACTGATACCAGATCGAACACCTTCGGTGATTCGAATGAGATGGAAAAGTTTTCTGGTATTACCAGAGAGACTAGCATCATAGTTCCTGTCCCAGGTTGCGAATGTTATCCCGTTTCCTGCGTCATGTTGAAAGTCTTACATTCCGCTTGCCAACACTCTAGCTGAAGTATACTTGACCGGTGTCAAATGTGGCGATGACACATTCTCTGTGATTACTTTGAATAACAATGTATGTCTTTGTTCTTGTTGAAGCATAGCTCGCTGTTGCTGCCGAATATAATCTTGCTGTTGTCGCAATAATTGGGTTAACTGTGAATGAGCAACCATTTCCGTCCCCATTGCAGCGTGCTGCCGTTAGAACAAAAACCACCGCCCCGGACAGTGTATTGACCAGATGTCAAGTCACCTGTAGCATGCCAGGCAGCTGACAATATAGGATAAGGTGAGTGGGTGTCAGACAGGCCGTCTCGCACGATCGGCTGCCTAATACACATGAAGCACGGTAGAGCAGTGGGTGTGAGTGAAGTTCACGGTCAGAATCGCGCGGCGGCGCCGTACTTTTGAACATCTGATAACTGTGCCCAACAAATACAATGTTCCCACACAGCGTGTTCTCCAAATCCAACTTGGAATTCATTTTCGTTGTGTCAAGCGTTGCTTGCGGATCTCAGTGTCGTAGTGATCAGTACGTCAGCCGTGAACCACTACGCTCTAAGCGCCACTCCAGCTCAGGCTCTCTTCACCTGATGAGTCAAAACCAGGACGAAACCGCGGTCCTAGTGTGTCTGTTTTGGTAGAAGTAACAGAGAAATAAGACAATCGTCCCTTTTCGGAGACCCTCCGAATCGTACGCATATGTTCGCACAGACCAGAGCGCGGTCTAAGTCAAGATAAGTAAGCCAAAATAATCTACAGTGTGAGTGATGGAGGACACCCGGTGGCAGAACTTCCCCCTGGAGTACCTGAGGTTTGTGCTTGATTGAAATAGACAATTCTCTTCAGGCAAAGTGGGAAGCATGGTTCCGTTATTCGAGCGATTCTGATTCAGTGCGTGATGACCAGCCAAGCGACATTCATCTGGTAACAGACCACCAAATGGTGTCTGGTAGTCGTCAGCCAGGACAGAGACGTCCGATTTGCGACACTGCGTAACAAGTGGTGGAGTTGGTGACGAATGCTCCGCTGGACCAATTGACAGCTACAATCCGTTAACACATAAGCTGTGACCACAAACATATCGGTCCCCATGGAGTCACAACTTGCCACAACAGCAGCCATGTACACTTAAAAGTTGGCGAACGTGAGGGTGAATTTTGAGCACCTAGCTTCTAAGTACTATAGGTACATAGCTGCTGTTGTGGGGAGTCATGATGCTTTAGTGTCAGCCGCCATACCACTATCCTGAAGGATAATAATAATAATAATGTGTCAGCTGTACGCCGTAACGGCGCTTCGCTGCCGCGCGACCACCACCAGTCGCGCGCGGGCTGAGTATACCGCGAGGACGCCCACCCCTACGCGGATTCGAACCGGTGACCTTATGGTTACAAAGCAAACGTGCAGACCACTCGGCCACCGGCCGACAATCCTGAAGGATAGTGGAGAATGATTCCCGCAGTGTGACAGTTACCTTTCAAGTCATGACAGTCTGACGGCATCCGCTGTATCTTAGTAGCACTGGCTGTGGCTACTGAGGCATGCTACTAGGTCACAGGTTCGGTTGGTGGGATGTACACATATGTCAAATCCGATTCGGAAGAAACGATATTTTTGTGCCTTCCCAGATTGTCGGTACGCTAGCTGGCTCGTGTGCTACTGCGTTGGACATAAAATGTCATCAACGAGCACACCACTGATGAGCAACATGAATTTATTTGCTTGCCAGATAACATCAATTTTCGAGATAGTTTGGATGTTACGTATGTCAACTCATCGCTTACCCTAAAGGGTCCCGTTTTGTTTGTCGGTCGCGGATACAAGGCTGAAGGTGCGTAAAAGTTGATTTGACATCAGGAGATGACAACATTAAACATAAGCTTGGCAATATTGGTCTGTCCTGGCGGTTCACAAATTTAATCTAAGTTTAACGCCAGGCTCCTCTCTTCTTCTCCTCAGTTCTCGTTGTTGTACAGTACTGTAGCATACATTCCAGTTAATGATTTATTCCCCTTGTTGCCGATTATACCACTGACATTTAAAAGTATACAATTTGAGAGGGAATCATAGAAGTTTCACAACTATGTATCGTACCACAGTGCTCTTCCCTTCAGCCTGCATATCGCGCTTTTTATTGAACAGAACGCGGGATTATCGGCATTACCTTACACAGCCGTTTGGTTTGGGCAATTGTGGTTTGGCTGGCTGTCCGATCGCCTTTTATCGAGAAACGTCTTCAGCCTTAACGTTGTACGACGGCTGATGACTTCTGTGGGTAAGTCTATTTGGGCGCTTTTCCCCAACTTGCGACACGACAATAACAAATCGCACGAGTATGTTGCTGTTATCTTTGTAAATTATCACACATTGCTTTTCTTCAGCTACAAATGATTATAGACTGCAGGTGTGGGCCAGTTACATTACATAGACCTCATACGTTGGTTGGTGGTCGCACTGGTTCGTTTACTATTCCAAAGTTACTCGCCAAACATGCCAAAAATCATCAGCTGTAGTCTTTTTACAATAGTAGTTCGTGATGCGATTACCACGAAACCGGGACCGATCGAAAGCACTTCACAAGCTTCTGCTATCCACGTAAACTTCGCTTATTTCTTCCATAGTTGAGCAATCCTAACGCATACGTTTCGCTGGCTCTTATCCGCCATATACCATGTAGATAGGTACTGGCTGAGATATCTGTAAATTCCAAAGCAAACTTTCACTATTCAGCCAAAGTGGTTTACGCATTTGAGAACAAGAGATCCCTTTTCCCAATTCCTGCACTTATATCCTTAGAGAAACTAACAGATGTTTGCTTCAAATACTTGTATTATGAAACACTTTACGTTTGGACCGCGCATTATTGACATATCCTTGACTCTTAAAGGTCAAATATTTCGTCCTTCACAGTCTGCCGATTAACAAACTGTGACACTGTACCGTTTTGCCACATCGCAGCACGTCTTCCAGTTTCCGCCTTTCCCTATTACGAATGGAAACCTGTTCAACGTTGTAGCGACTACGAAACCTCGACTAAGCGGTCGTACAAAACGGGACAAGGGAACTGTAGGCTAATGAACCTATACTATACGCTCGGTAATGGAATTAGAGCTTTATTTTCTCTGCCTAGACCGTGGGTGTAGTATAGGTTCATTAGCTTACAGTTTACTTATCCCGTCTCGAGTGATTGTCTAGTCTAGGTTCGTAGTCGCTACAACACTTATTCACTCAGGAGTTCAGCCTTTCAAACCCATGCACACAGTACCTTCCGCTTCAAATTCAAGTTTGCTTTCTACTCTTTCCATTTATCGAACGCTTAGTGGCCGTCAGAACATTGGTGGCACTAAAGCTGCTTCATCGGTCAACCATGGTTTTCTAGCCTGTGTAGGTACACACGGCGCAGAAAGCACTTTCGTAACTTCAGAATGTTCCCACCCTCCCTGAGCAACGATTCATTGTTATCAAGATGCCTAAGCGTGAGGATTGTCAGCAGAGCTAAAATTGGCGCATGGTGTCACTGCCAAATGTGCCCTTTTGTGTTCAGCTGTAGCACTAAGCTCCGTCATCTACCAGATTCTGTGGCTGTCCTTTCTTCCCCTGATCATTGTCAGGGTGGGTTGGTAATGTTGTCCGAACGCGTTTATAGATGATACCGGCGTAGTGAGTTTGTTTTTTTATTGGGCATGGTGGGTGCATCAGTATGCCAATTTGACGGTAGTGGGAGCGCTGTTCCTGCATGATCAACGTCAGTAGTGATGAAGAAAATCTGTGAGTGCTGTTATTTCCAACCGCATTTGCACACCAATCTTTTATCAAGTGTCATATCACTTGTGTGGGGGAAACGTAACTCATTTTCGACTAATCCACGGACGAAACTGCTTTGTGAGTGAACAAAAATTGCTGGCTTTCTTCATTCATGTATGGGCTAATGTACCATTATGATTACAGTGTGATACAGTGCGGACTGGTTCTCGATGGGATTCAACTACTGAATGACCACTTTCATCTTCTTGAATTGGTCGGTTGGTTCTCGTGCTTTATCGAGTAATTCCAATTCTTTCCCCAATTGTCAAGGTATCATTCTTCATCATAGACATGGACACTTAGTTTTGTGCACGCCGTGCAACTGGCTCTATGCCTCAGTGTAGGTAACCCGAGTAGCCTACAGTCAAATCTTTATCGATTGAAGCGTTTCGGTTCACTCCTCTGCAAACCATGTTCCGTCCCTTGCTCTATGTCACTGTGTCAACGATGTCCAAACGTCAAATAAGGTGGTTAGTATACACTGGTAACGCTTCTGTCGATGATACTAGCGCAGTGCATTTTCTTGTGATACATTTTGGAAACTAATGTCTTCAAACCACTGCGCTCATCCTCTTTGGACATGTGAAGCGCTTCGCGTTATTTGCCCATTCATCTAATAGCACTTTCTATATCAGAATGGCACTGGACAACCGTTTCGCCTCCTATTATTAGTTGGTGCCATGTATTCCCTCCGAATCATCCGACAGCCAAATCACGACCTGTGTGTCTGAAGATCAGTGTGGCTCACACTCCACAGGCCATGGGTTATGTTGACTGCTTGCATACTGGTTGTAGCGTAGTGCGCTTGGATGTATGAACGTAGGGATAGCAGGTTTGGCTCCAAGGATCAAAACTTCCCACGTAAATCTGACAGTATTCCTCGTACATTGCAGAGTTGGCTCGATGTTCTCTACAAGTTACTTTTTGATATACTAGGTGTGATAGAAACGTTCTATCAGAGGGTACGGATGAACTTAAGGCAAGTGCCAGACATATGATAGAAAACGAATCTTACGGATTCGATTACTGGACGGCGACTGAGACTTTCGTATGCACTATGGTGAATTCCTTGTCGTCTATTTAACTGAATCAAAAGTGGAACTTCGTCAGCTCCTGAAGTCGTTAATGGAAGTTTATAAACTATAAATTTCGAAGCGCTCGGCGCGTCAAACGTTCTGTTGTTATTACTGATTCGCCCTTGTTGAATCAAAGCTTTTCATTAAGGACTGTTTTTTACGACACCTGGTTTTCACCGACGTAATGAATCCAGAACACATTCATGAGTAGAAGTCGGATCATGCGTAAGCAACTGACGAGGTCAAAGGAGTAACTGAGATATAAAATTCAAGCGAACTCTGGGTCAGAGAATGCTGGCGAAAACTGCATTGGCATACCACTTTGCCTATTACAGCCTTGTACAACATCAGTAGAACATAATATTCTATGCACTATCTCGACTTGAGTTGCAGCAGGAGCCTAAATGATTCTTTCTGTTCTCTACCTTCAGGCATGTTCGGACCAGGTGTAGTGATGATAGCCATCAGTTTCTTCGATTGTCGCTACAAGTACGTAGTTGTCGCTCTATTTACCTTTGGACTGGTGCTGAACAGTGGCATGTTCGCCGGTGGGCTACTCAATCCTATTGAGATCAGCCCGAGGCACTCCGGAATCATATTCAGCGCTGCTAACACGCTCAGTGCACTGACGGGAGTGGCCGCCCCATTAGTGGTCGATGTTCTTACACCTCAAGTAAGTGATTGAATAGTTTGTAATGGTCTATCCATCTCCATTTTATCACCGATAACAATAAACGAAGTGCACGATTTTCCTTTGGCAATACACTTCTGTATGTCATACATTTTATGCTATTTCAACTCAACGGTACAGTCTGCCGGGTTATGGGTGAGATGCCCTATAGTTATATTTCACGAACAAGAGGAGTCTTTGATGCAGTCATTCTGATTCCTTTCTCCGGTCAATTGATAACATCATTTGTATAGCGGAACAAGTGTCATCCTACACAGTTCTCATGCGGGGGCGGATACACAGGAGGCGAGTCTTGTTAATCATCTTTAGTAGACATGCCGTTGAACACAGCGTCCACGTCCATGGGTAGCGTTTTTCCTACAATTGAAAGTCAAAATGTTACGGGTATTATGACTGTGCATTTTGGGTGTCGTTATAAAACATAGACGGAACTGTAGTACGTGCATTGACTTAGGAGAAAGCGTTTACTTGTTCATTTACCCACCAGTTAGCTCTGTTTGTTCGGATATGCTAACTCCCTTTACATTTTGAAGGCTATCACATTATTGGATTGTTTGTACGTATGTAATATGTTCTTTTTGGCTGCCGAGTTCAGTTATATTTATTGTTGTGTAGTACATTTTTACCGTTGCGCCGGACTCCACCTGTGGGTGTAAGCAATAACCGGACCCTATTTTCTCTCCACATCAGCATACTTATTCTCAGTGGCGAAACGTCTTCTACGTCGGCGCTGCTGTCTACTTTGCTACAGGATTGTTCTTCGTCTGCTTTTCTTCCTCGACCATTCAACTCTGGGCCGTGGTACCTGAAGATCGTTTGGACGATGCTGAATTGAACCATCGAACGCTATCCAAGGAGGTGGAGCCACTGAACGAGTTGTCGGATCCAGTTGTCATCAAAGTTGTGGATGCTCGACATATCAGTGCCTGACATACCTGCAAATTCTTACAGGCAGCTATAATCATCCGGATGCTATTCATCTGTTCATATGATGCTTTACCTGAGTCAGCCAACTCTTTTAAATTTTCTATCCTTTTCGTGACCTTCTGTGATTATTGTGCCTAAATCGACCAAACTGATGCATTTGCCTTAGTGAGACCCTTTATTTGAGAAGAGGACCAAATGCATTAACATGGATAACGCCCACATCGCTTCCCGTTGTTGAAACTTTCTCTACTATTTACGGCATTCGCAGTATATACTTGATTCAAAAGATGTAAAAATTAAACCTTTTCTCAGTCTCCATCACTTTATTGTAAACGCTTCCAGAATCACGTAGCTGGAGAAATTTTAACCAAACTTCCTTCGACTGGATGTTGTAGTGAGCCACAAATTTTAAGTTTCTGCCAACTAATGATATCGACAGATGTACTTTTGGAGTCAGCAGTCATCGGTCCTCCAAAGCACATGATGAGAGGCAGTATTTACTCCACATGAACTCAGCTCCGCTTACCTAGGAGACAAGCGTCACAACTTGTTCCTGACGATGAGTGAGCCCCCCCAACCCTTGATCCCCTCGTTGGCTAGCACTAGCCCCAACTTAAACAATACTCAAACATACAAATCATGTGAAACATTTTCCGGTCGTTTGTAGCGGTCGCAAGCGTTACCCTAAGTTCGAAAACCACGTAGCAGTTGTTTTGAGTTGTACAGATCTGCCTTTAGTGGAGATGTCAATGGTGGCATTCTCACACATAAATACATCCCGTTAGATGCTGCAGCTGGGGCGCCGTTGATGATTCTCTACGAAGGCCAGAGCATCAGGAAATTGTTTGAACTTCATTTCATGCAGGATTTTCCATTGACAAAATTCAAGATAGCAAGATGGAAAAAATTTCAACGTGATCTCCTGAATTCAAATATTTCGCATAATCTCACCAAAACATACAACCCGTGGAATTATGGTGCTACATTTAAAAGAAAAATCTTTCATGTTCATGCAGCTCGAAAATGAAATAATCAAGGAATTTTACCAAGGCAATCCAAGACTGGTCACAAACTCAGTCTGTTCGCACAAATTGCCTTTAAGATTTCGAATTGCTGAAGCTTCAGCAAACTGAAGCAGACGAGCATTGCTTTTTCGGATAATTATCGCGAATAATGCACGGGGATTTTTGCAAATGGAACAGTCTATATTGTGCAGCGCAGTGGAGCTAGCTGACAGCCTAGAGCCAATTGCGACCACATTACGTGGAATCTGCTCTGAAATCCTGTTCGACAGCCCACCTACATACTACCAAAAGTAAAATGAAAGCACTGAACGCAACAGGCGGTAACTAGAGAGCCTTGCTTTTCTAAGTCGGATTTACATAGCAGCTAGCTTACTTAGTGCGGTAACACTTCAGTCGCGTAACAACACTTATTATCATCTGGTGGAGATGGTGCCGAAATCTGCTAGTTTCCTCACCTTTAAACAGCAGCGTAAAGAACACTTTTTATTTGGGACGTCCTCCCTTCATTTCTCCCTGTTTTCTGTTTTTGCGTATGGTGGTATAGATCTTCCGAGGTAACCGTTTTTACGTAGTGTTAATGATAGGTGCTCCATCTTGCCTTCGGAGATATCTTCAGAACAAATCTTTCGAGCTCTTACGCAGACGGTGCGAAGCAATGCTGGTTTGTAGATTTTAGGATAAAATCTATTGTAGTGTGGTACTGACCAGTCCAAGTAGGCTTGTGATACACTGATCAAATGAGCGTGCCGTCTGAATTCCTCTCTAGCTTTACATCCATGCAAGTAGATGTGTTATCCACTTTACTTTGCATCGTGAATTTGACTGCAAGGTGGCACGTGTTTAGAACATAGAGTAGGTGTGATGCCTGCCGAGCGGCATCAGCCACAACAAATGTGTCCTCAAGGTATCTACGAGACGAATGCATATTTTGTATGTTTTGCCGTAGTGTGGGTTCCCCAATTGGCTCATAAAAATATCAACACGGATTTGACCAAGTGGGCTGCCCATGGCCACACCATCAATCTGATGATAGATGGTTCCACTGAATTGGTACTGAATATCTTGTGTGCATAATCACTAGTGACTTAAGTTAATGCGTCGGAAATCCCACAATGTCAGCATGAACGCCGATGATCCCTAAAGTGGAAGGTTCTTGAACAATGAGCGTAGATAACTAGATAGATAGATACGAATGTATCATTGATAGTGTGCTTGTTAGCTCATATCGGATAGGTTAAATAAGCTGGGATAGACATCGTGCCAGTTGTTGAAGCCGTGTGTTTATCATAGTGGCGATTGCATTTAGCAGTATGTCCCCCTTATGGGTCTTGGTAAACCATATATAAGGGGAATTGAAATCCGCGTGTGCGAAGTTGCTTCATGGCTTTCATATCAATCAATCCCGCTTTCAATAGCCTTTTCAGTTCACGGTCTATGCACTTTTCAATTTGCTCGGTTCTGTCCCGACCTGTTGACTCACGAATGAAGCGGCTAGTGTCTGCAAGAATTGACTGCATTGACTGCTTTCCAAGATGGCTACTCCTGCTCCCATGTCAGGCTTCAGTAGTACCATGTTTTCATTTCGGTGCAGGCTCATCAGCGATTCCCAGTGACCTTTTGTTAGAACTATGCGTTTTTCGGTTTCAACAACACGAAATTGATTGGCTAAATTCACTGCCATAGCCTTAAAACAACAGCGTAAGTCTTCGGTGGCTGGGGTCAAACTGGATAACTGCTCATTCAAATATTCAAACAGTGTCCCAATTCCTATTCAATTGCATTTCTTTGATGGCACTTAAAAATTGAACCCCAGTGATAAGGCTTCAAGCTGAGAGCGGTATTCGTAGTATAAAAATGTAAATCCACTTTAAGTCATGTTTGTTAACGCCCTTGTGTATCAGTTCTTACCGATTTCGTGGGGCTGGAGAGCACCATGTTTGCGTCCTGTTGACACTAAATGAACAGAAAGCCAATCAGATAATGCAAGTGTTATAATGCATCGTCGAGTTGTTTTTTAAAACAGATAGCTTAAGCGCAAATTGACAAAAGTCGACAGGACGTCCTATCTGTGACAAATTCGAAGAGAAAACTACTTCCAGCGGCATGCCATCCGACTGTATTTCTTAACCAGTTTCAGCTGGTGATCCCTCAATTTTGTTTTGCGGCTAAGTTTCAAGAGGTAACGGCAAACGTGAGCAGGGTTTTCCAAGATCCGATGCAGCAGTATAAGGTTGCCCCGTAGACGAAGATACCTTCTGCTGTACACTCCTAAAATTTTCCGTCACAGATGTTGTGACAGGTGGAGCAGTACCTTTACATTTATGGTTGTCCTTCGCTGTGCGGTATCCAATGTAGCCATATCGCGCTTTAATCAGGGTTGCCAGGCTTGAATCGCGTACTCCACCTGGGCCTTCACATGCGCATTAGGCATTTGGGGGAAGAGGGAGGGATCGAAACTCCCGAACTCCTTCCGTAACAGACCAACATGCTTGTCCGCGGTTTTGGACGCCTTCAAGGACTGCACCGACTAGCCGAGATCGTCTTGCATCACCACCACAAGATCGCGTTTCTGTGATGCGGGTTTCATCATGATGTCTCCAAGCTTATATTTGTAAGTGGGCTTGCGGTGTGAATGTGCAGTCTGGCACATGTCCACCTTAAACGGAAGGGGATTTAACTTTGACCATTCAAAGGCACGGCCTAAGTCTCTTCGCAGCAACTCGTCATCGCCCTAACAAACGATCGCCCGCCATCTCTGGAGGTGATGGGAAAAAAGCAGGAAATCCGACTCTGCGACACACGCGAGGTCGTTGGTGACGACCAGAAATAGGCGCGGCATTAACACCAATCCTTGTGGGGCACCGCAGTCCATCTCGATACGATCAGAAAATGAATCCCTAACTTGAACCTTAAGCCGCAGCCGGAAGAGGAAATTTCCAATTCATGCAAGAACCGAGTCCGCAATTCCGTACGTACGGAGCTTTTGAAGAAGGATTCGGTGATCTAAGCTGTTGAAAGCTTTAGAAAAGTCTAGGTAGATGACATCAGTGTCGGTCCCACAATCGGTTATTTTGGTCCAACTGCCACACGCAGTCAGATAATTTGTAGTACATGACCGATGTTTATGGAACCCGTGTAGTCCCTGTGCTATGACGTCAGACCTTTCAAAGTAGCCCATTAGCGTCCCAGTTTTGATCGGCTCTATCACCTTTGCCAGCACCAGGAGGAGAATCACTGGACTATAGTTGACGGACTCCGAACGGCTACCGCCCGTAAAAATTGTGGTGATGATACCCCGGTTCCACATGTTGGGGACCTTCTGTTCATCCAGACATTTTTGGAAAATTCGAGGTACTGGCTCAGCTATGCTCGTAGCTGTCGGCTGAAGTACTTTTGGGGAATGCTGCCAACAATACTGGAGTGCGTTGTACCACGCTATGATAAATTCGAGCCAATCTGCCTATGGGTTAAGTTATTATGTCGAATGACTGGACCTCGTCGCGCTCACAACAAACTCAAACCAGCATGTTCGCCGCACTGTCAGTCCGCAACTCAATGGAAGTATTTACTGCGATCAGAAAAGTTGGTGGTAATAACGAGCCTCGGAAATGAAGGTTGCCACTCTTACTTGAAATACACAAGAGCTCTTCGCGCTGACTGGGATAACCTGATACAGGTCTGGTGTCAACGGCCATCTGTGAAGCAGTTGGGTGCCAAAGCACTAACAGTGATATTGCATGGACGGATGTGCAGAATATTTCACCGTCCAGTTGCCACTCAATTTTCCGTTACACCTCCAGTCGCATGTCATGGGCAGTTTCATGAGAACTGTTAGCACCATTTGCCATTGCAAGAAACATGTTTGTGGAATTGTACTTTCAGTAACGCACATGACAAACCTATGCACACGTCATATAGCACGTGATTTACATGCCACGTCAAAACAGCATTTTGACCTTGTCCATTACCACGCCGGCGTCTTAGCACGTGGCCATTGGGAATGCACTTAGCTCGCATTCACTATTATCCTACAACACAGACACAACCAACAACACAACATCACTGGAACGACCGGACAGCGGATCTGCGCTCTTCCGTTTACGTGCTCTAGGCCCGACGCATCCAGTAACAACGCGCTGCAATCAAGGGGACGTACAGCCATCATGCAACCATATGTCTCTTGTATATGGCATTACTAGGTGTACAATGTTATTATTTATAGTAGTGCCTAGCCGTCTACTTTGTAACTAATCAGGCTAAATACAACACCAATAGAACCACACACTGAAGCGACGTTCATCGAGATTTGACATTTACAGCACTCTAAGGTTGTGGGGTCCAACGAACTTCCCCCAGAATTGTTCAAGTAC